TCGCATCGCAAAACAAATTTTATAGACATCTCGGTTACATGCATTTTGAAAATGCGTGCGACATTCCCGTTTTGATCCTTCTCCTTGCTCGCAGTTCATCAATTCATCAGCACGTGCGTCGTAACACGTAGATGCACTTTCATTGATGTGTGCATGAAGGTACATCTACACTGTTCGGTTATCGAACATTATGCCGATCAGCGCCTCTTTCGCTCTTACGATGATAAATAACATTGTACAGCCTGAAGATCGCGGCACGGCCTTTTGGTTATTACGTACTCGACAAAAATTTCCACTTGATACTTTTTTACGCAAAATGTATATATATATATGTATATATATATCCATATTATATTATACATATATACAGTTATATATACATATATATATGTATATATTAATTTCAAATATATCCGAATGTTATATCATTTTCAATTTTCATTTGATTTAACGTACGAGTTATTAAAATGCTGCCGATCTGGAAGCAAATAAATTCGTTCGACTCACATTTCTCGTACTCATATAATTCTTTTCCTTTTTTCCTTCACGCTGATATAATAAATTTTGATTTAACGCACAATCTATAAACAAATAAGTTTCCACGTTGATAAACTGCTAGTTCGTCGAGATTATTCGCGAGACGTATATATAAAACGTACGTGTTGTGTAAAAAAAATTATATATTATTATCTTTACTATTTCAGACGTAATCGACGATCTATGCAAGTTGTAACTGATGCTCGTTTATCGCCGAGTAAGCAACGTAATCAACGTTGTAACCAACGTGTCCTTGATAATGGCAACTTATTCCGAGACTTAACGTAGACACGATTAATTGTATTTCAATAGTTGGCACCTGTTCCGGCCATCCGCGTAAATTTCTCTTTCGCAATTAGACGCACGTATAAACCTATATAAATACAATGATTAATAACGAAACGCACTTCCGATATACAAGATTCCCTATTCTAAATTTCCAATTTGCAAGGCGAAGGCGCACGCGCGCGATAGACAAATGATTAACTTTTTCGCTCATTTCCTTTGACGGTTACATACATAAATCACATATAAAAGAAAACAACGTAATAATCAACAAAATTTAAACAACATATTCATGCTAAAAATATACGCTAGTTCCGATTTTGTAATTTCGATTGCTATCAGCCTTGCTTCTTACTACCACCACGCTTCTGGATAATTCGACGGGCTGCCAGTTACGAGATTTATAGCTATATTCTATCACGTTTAGACTCAGTTTCATAACTCACGGTTAACTCTTAACTGAGATTCAATATACATATCATTCAAAATCACACAAAATTGTGGAAAGAGATGAGAAATAAGTTAAATCGATTAAGAATTAATCGTGAATTGTGTGGAAACTGAGCCTAAGAGGCTTATTCTGTAATTCTTGACGACTGTAACGCTACAGTTACCAGTCCTTAAGAGTTACAAAAACAGACACCTAAGTACCCTCGCTGTGTATTTACTTCTCTCTTTTTTTTTTAAGCAATACACTGACATTAACATTTGACGCCAAAATAACGCGGGTGAAGCATAAAAATCATTCACAGGATGTTATTGAGTCGAAATTCTGAAACAAGTCACCGTACAAATCGATATTTGTTACACATAAAATAAACGTTAATTCGAAAGAGAGGCATAGCCTATTAAAAAAAAAAAAAGGAAATGCCTGTATTCATTGAATTCCTTGTTCGGAGTTCGTTCGCGTCGCTATTCAAATAAAAACGGTGGAAAGCGACGAGGAGGAAAGCGGAATGAGCTCGCTGCCTTTTATAGATAACGGAAGGCTTAATTCCGCCGACGGTCGATTCATTTCTGGCTCATCTTTGGTAAATGAATTTGTCGATCGATGAGCGCCGCGAGTGGCTCGGATGCGACGCGAAGAGGGAGACCCGGAGTACGACGTTCGACCTCTCTACTTGAGAGTATTATTAAAGCTCGATTATAGATGGAATTTACACGACGCGAAGCTGAGTCGGCATGAAGATATTTTTCTTCAGCGCGAAGAACGCCGAACCGTTAAGTTAATATAACGAGTATTCTCTGTTCATTGAAATGAAGACGTAATAAAAAGAACAGGTCGCGATAGAGGAGGTTTCGATGATCATGTAACTCTCTAGAATACGATCATGACGTAATTTAGATTAATGTCTCTCATCTTTCCAATTACTTTATTATACCTCAAACACGTACAATATCTGACTATATATATAATACACATTTCTAAACTATATGTCCATTAACATTTCTTATTTTACATTGCACAATATCCTACGTATATAGGATTTCGTCAAGATTTAGAATCGAATCGAGTGAGAATCCGCCACGCGGCGTGTCGAACAGATCCAAACGGCGATTTTGCAAACGTCCGATCGACGGATAAATCAAGCTCCTCCCGTTTATGCTGAAAGGATAAGCCGCCACCGGAAGCTCGCATTTGCGGAAATACGTGTGGTGCGCGGCGAGGCGGCGCGAAAATAAGTCGTCGCGGTCGCGATCGAGCGTCCGCGGACCCTCGAGATATACGCGAGATATACGCGAGAGGTGTCTGGGAAGAGGGAGAAGAGGGACAGCGGTGGTAGTAGAGCGATAGGCGATAGGCCGGCAATAGAGGCACTCCGGCCGCGCCGGCGGCTGGATCTCCTTAGCATTAACACGCGATATACCTGAAAAACCAGTTTGCGGGCTTTTTATTAGGCCTTTACTTTCGCTCGCGAAACTGAAAGTACGAGTGAGCGAGCGAGCGAGCGAGGCAAACGAGGCCTGTTAGCGAGCGAGCTAACTAACGGGGTCACCAGTCGATACGGATACGCACGTAAACGGAGACACGCACGCACACACACGCACACACACACAGACACGCGTGTGTGACACACAAGCAGAGATGGAGAATACGCGCGCGAATGTGCACGAAGAAAGAGATGAGGAAAAGAGGAGAAGATAGAGAAGCGTACGTAAAAGTGTGCGCATGTATATCTTACGTATGGTAGGTATACGTGCATTCACTTACACGCGTACAAGACCGTCGATGAGCGGCCACGTCGCTGCCTCCGCGTATGTATACGCGCGTATACACACGCGGATGCACGCGCGCGCGGTACTGAATGTTTACGATGTAGTAAAGAAAATACAGGCCCACACACACACGCACACACATTTACACCACTAGCAGTCGCCGCTACGAGAGAAAGAGAGAGAGAGAGAGACCGGGTCTGGTTACGCCGTGCCGATCAGCCGTGATTCGTGACATTACTCCCTTTGTTCAACATAAGTCGCGTTCCGTTCAACGTACACAGAGAAATAGTAGTATAGTTTTATGCTCCTTCGTCCTCGTCCCCGCTTCTATCTCGATCCTCTTTTTCTTTCGCTCGGCCTCTGCCTGTGCCCGTATATCTCGAATCGTCGCCCTTTTCTTCGTTTTCTCGAACGTTCGCACGCCGCGAGTTTCAGGCTGCAGAAACGTGTGCACCCACCTACCAAACGAATGTTCGGGGCCAGTGATATTATTTCACTGCGCGCGGGACGTCGCCGACAACCGCAGTTTCTTTCAACGATACAATACATGAGTAAATAAAGAGTTAAAAAAATTAACGTGATAAATTGTGGTAGTTTTCAGATGTGGGAATGGACCATCTTTGCTTGGCGCGTACGAGAATGTGAGACGGAATTTCGAGCGAGCTACGGCGCGATTGATGAAACGGTGACATTGGACGATAAGGTATACCGAAACGTACCACTGTATCTTGACGTGCTCGAAATTATCCTCTACTCTCAGACTGCTTTGCAACATTTCAAAAAAATATTTTTTCAATACTCTCTCTCTCTCTCTCTCGCTCATCATATATCTCGCCGTAACTCGAATTATTATACTGCAAGGTTTTTCTTCGCGGGGTTCATATCCAGCTCTCGCAACAGAGAAGAGAGATCTAATCATCCCCCATTAAAAAGCGATTGCAACCATAATTCTTTTTGGCGTCATGTTTCCAGCACTCATGAAGTATTTATCGCTTAAGAAAAGCATGGTTGGTCAGGTTCGGTGTACATGGTAAACGTACATCCCTGCGAGTGTATACGTGTATGCGTGTGTACGTGTATGTGCGTGTGTTTGTATCGTATTTACGCTCGCTCGAGTTCTCGCAGAAATAAAAAAAAAAAAAAAAAAAAAAAAAAACAGTTTCCCTTTCGATTCCACGCGCACTGCCGTGCTCGTCCTCCCTCTCGTTCCCCGGCCGTGCCGCCCCGCTAACATCATCTTCCCGAATTAAATCTTATCACGTTATACACAGTATCTAAATGAAATGTGTTCACAGCCACACATTAATTATTTATACATAAATTTATACATATATCTGTATATATTTAAATATATTTATATTTATATATATTTATATATTTTTCCGTAGTTCGCGCAACATATGTTTCCTCCCTCACCGAAAACAGCCCTTTTCCATCCCTTACGTATCTCTATCTCTTCCTGCCTCTGCTGTCCGATCAGCTTTGCGAGAGAAAAATCAGGCGGGAGGAGACAAAGGAAAGATCAAAACAGGGGAATCGTGCCTCGCTCGAGCCGTCTGTTCGTTCGAACATTCTCTCCTCTCCTCCCTGTTTGTCCGAAGTGCCATCGTGGAATATTCCGCCTCGCGTCCACCTTCTGTTCTTCTCTCTTCGTTTCCGCTTCCTCCTTAACGTGGCCTCGTCCAGAATTCGCTGTACGCAACGTCGACGTCCGTTTCATCGACAAATGCTCGTTCCGGGACGATGTCGATATCTGTTCTCCGAAAATTCGTATTTAGTCAATAAAATCGGCGCTCGTTCCACTAATTTAAGACCATCTTGCCATTTTACTACGGTTATGTCTGTCTTTTTTTTTTTTATAATTCATCGGAGGAACGTTTTTTTCTGTCGTATCTTTTCTAGTCTTCTCCGATCTCTTTTTCTATTTTTATTTTTAGGCACAACACATCGTTTCTGGAGTCTTTATAGTCTTTTGGTTGTTTTACACCGCAACTGTAGCCGGTACCAGCGTTCGGTCCTAATTCTGCTGCAGTGACCACCACCGAATTTATATACGTTTACGAATGCTTAGAAAGAGCAGCACTCGCGACGGAAGGCGGGAGACTCGCGATAAGAGTGCTTCGTGTTCCATACCTGCCTACCGTTTTTCATATCATCGACGATATCATACGTTCATCGTCCAAATACGCCGCTTTTCGATTCACGATTCTGTTGTTACTGCATTTGCAGGCGTTCATCCTCGATGCCGAAGAGATGACTTTTTTCGTATACCGTTCCTGCACCCAAGCTCACATCACCCCGACGAACGTCAACTAAGGAGCTTAGATTCTTTGACGTCGGACACGGAATGATCGATATCTGTCTTCACATTTTTAGACACTTCGCAAGGATCACAAGCGCAACAAAAGTCTTCAGGATCTTCGAAAGGACAGTAGAGGCCGTAAGAGCAGAGGCAACAGAATTCGCAATCTCTCAATTGGTATCTTTGATACCAATGGCTGTAAGAATCGACGTGATGACTACAACTTGTAAGTCGATTAAAGCAGCAACAATCAGTGATCGTGGTGGTAGTGGTGGCGACGTCTACGGATACGACGTTATCACCGATATCGTCGCATCACGAGGAACACGCCATCCAGTTGCAGGTGCACGTATAGCATGCTGTCGTGGGTATCACGGGCGCGTAGTAATAACCGTTAGCGTAGACGTAGGTGGCAGGCGGACCTTGCGGCGCCTGCTGATGACTCGTCAATCGCTGCTGCTGCTCCTGGCAGAGCACCTGGTAGGCAAGGTTTTGAATCAATGCGAGTGTCTGCCGTCGCTCGTGGCCCATCAGGCACACGGTAGACTCCTCGACAACGCTATGCAGCAGCATCAGGTACTGATATTTGAGGGTCTCCTCCTCGGGCCCAACGAAATGATTCCACAAGTAGTTCTCAAGTTTGGAGCGCTGTTGTCCTATGTCCGGGAAATCAATGAAGAATCTCGAACACATATATCGTTCGAGCGTCTTGATGTAATCCGGCTGAGACGGTTTGTACATCTTCACCAATAGGTTGCAATATTTGAGTAGGCCACCGCCGCGTATCTCTTCAGGATGCCTCGTCGAGATGAGCTTCTTGTGCAGATGATAGAGCGCTTCCTGAAAATCACCGTAGACGGACTCACCAACCACGGTCGGGTAGAAGTTCTCGGCGATTGGCAGCTTGCTGCACTCGTAGAACAGCAGCAAGGAATCGAGAACGATTTGAAAGGAGTCAACGGAGAATTCAAATTGCCGTCTCATCGAGTCGACGAACTTGAGCTCGACGTTTCGGTGGCCCCGGGAGTTGCCGAGGGAGATCAGGGACCACCGATCGCCGTCGTTGTTCACTTTCACCATCTTGCTTACGTAAGCCTCCTTCAGACTGCAGGTGGTGATGCGTTTGCGGCTCACACCTTCCGGCAGCAAGTCGAACAGGGAGCCGAGCACTGCGGCCTTGACCTTGTCGTAATTACGGCCGCTGGACAGCTCGACCGCGAAGATAAGGTCCAGGTCGTTGTACGGCTGGGACTCGGTGGCCAGCACGTGGGAAGCGGCGCCACCGTTCAGCCGAATGTCGCGTACCCTCATGCCGGCACCCCCGTTACTTGGATCGGTTTCTAGTTTACTGCGCACCACCGTCACGAGATCCCTCAATCGGACCTCCAAGGTGGGGAAGTTCCCTCGGCCGTGAATGCTGACGACTTCGTTCATCACGTCGTTCAGGCGGCGAACCTGTTCGAAACTCAGTACCGCCAACCTCTGCTGAGGATCCGGACAATCGGTAGCATTGCTGTTACTGTTGTTATTATTGTTATTGTTGTGATTATTGTTATTGTGGGTATTGTTATTATTGTTCGTGTTGTTATTGTTGGTCTCGTTGTTAAGATCTTCATTGCCGATGCCGTTGGTCTTACTGCCGTTTACTTGGCAGAGCGACTCCATCATAGCGACCCGATACTGGCGTTCTTCGCCGATCTCCAGAGAGCCACACTGCAACAAATACAAAAGACGAAACTTTTACGTGACTATCTTGCAAGCGACATAGAATTACGTAAATGAACATTATTCGTAAATGTTTTAATTTTATTCAATTGAAGAAAATAAAATCAAAACTTTCTATTTTTTGTTGTAAAGGATTTTATAAAATATTTGTAAAGAGACAGTATAAAAACACAAAAGTGTGTTCTTGTATTTTCATAAAGTTCTCTCGATATTATATTTTTAAACGATTTATTATCATATTATTCGCATTAATCCAATAATGACAGTAATAAATTAAACAAACGCGATTTTTTCTAAACTATATTTATCCCCTTTAAAAAAATGTGCGGATATGTGCAGATAAGATATGCAAATATATTATACATTAATACGGAAAATTGTATCTTCCTGATAAATATGGAATCGCGATAAAATAAAGCCTTTGTATGTTAATGCTTTCAAAACTCGCGTGTGCTGTACAATGTCACACTCTGACTAACAAGACTAAAGGTCGGTAAAGGTGAAAAAAAAGGTTTTTAGCATCTCTCCCGCGTGCATTGCGCGAATTTCCGATGAGTGCATCACCGAGCGCGCCCTTCGGCGAGTATCTATGTCATGGTGCTCAAAGTGTACGGGTGCATAGCGAGAAAATGCCACGAGGTTATGTCCGGGTGTGCGACGTACGCGAGTCAGTCAACCAACGTGTACATAAAGCCCTCGGCTATTGGCTTTCATACGCGGGTGTCGTTCAGAAAAGTGCAACAAGTCGCAAGAAATTCTAGCAGTCAAAAGGATATCGCATTATGCGATATTTCGACGTAATACGATACCTTTTTGATTATATTATAGAATTTCAATTGCGCAATATTCGAACACGCACTTCATTATCAAAAGTAGGGCGAATATACGTATTTATTCGATAATCTACCGAAATATAGTTTAGAAATTAATCTTTCGATATGAGATCAAAATCGATATTTTTCTTGACAAAAATACCAATAAAAACCAATATACATTATGACGTCATTTGTAATGAATTTCTAATTCGTATCCGGTATTCAAGTTTGAATTGCTGTGCAGAGCTTTATCCGGCACCAACTTGTCGCCAGAAATCAGCCTATCGGTTATTATCAGACTTGCTTGTTTGTGTACCGTACGTGTTTCCGTGATAATAAGTATATCTCTTTGAAAGCAATTATGTCACGAACCAGATTCGTAGTAAGACGTCACGAAAGATATGTGATCGTAAATTCAATCTGTAATCTCAAACAGCTTTTAGAAACGCAGTGTAAAGTCTAGGTATACGCTAAATAATCGTTCGAATTCGATAAGTATCTTCTCATTTAACTATAGATTATCGAACTAACTCAATCACAAATATTTGCTAAAAAAAATCAAACAGTTCAATTTTCCTTTTGTTATAGTTGCGAAACTCTTACTAAACTATAATGTTCAGTATTACTAGAATATAATAGTATTTAGTATTTATTTTAGTTTCTTGAAATAAAATAATATCTTTTAATTAATATAAATAAAATAAATTTTATAAAGCGCTAGCGTCAATAACTGTGTTAGAGATTTTGGCGTCAATTCCGGAAGGTCGATAGTTGTGAGAAAAAGGTGGCCATCAACTTTATTGGAAGTATCTCTCGAATTGCAGCTGATCGAAGATCAGCGAATGAAAGGAGTCAACGAAGACGAAAGGAAACGCTGCGAGAGTTCTAGAACGTCCTATATTATACGAGGCTGAGAAAGCTGGCGTCGATTTAGCGAAGGTCATGTCTCGAGATGAACTGAGAAGTCCGAACTAAACTTCGGTCTTGTATTAAACAATTAAAATGTTGAAATTAGTCTTGATTGAGTGTCACAGGAAGGAATTGATTGGATAAAGTACGATGATAAAATGCATTTCCGGCATGCTATTTCCGTTTCGTCCGATATATTTACGATATATATAAAAAAACATCAATTTCCACAAGCTATAGTCTCTTTCATTCTATAGACAACGTTTGGAAACAATAAAGCGATTTATCATCTATGTCAAATCTACGCACAATCATGGATATGCTTTTGACACGTATAAAGTAAATCGCTATTATCACTTATTGACAGGAGGAAAAACAGGCGTTTTCGAAACATTTTGTCGGCGTAATATTTTCAACCTGTCTACGTATCGATACAAAAAAAGTATCCTGAGGCGCAGCTAGTATTTTTCCTATTATCATGTCGTTAGCTTTATTGAAATATTTACAATCACGTTTCGAAAAATGTTGTGCCACGATCTACATGGAAAGAATAATTTTGTTGAAGTATCTAAAAATTTAGGCACAAATACAAATCTGAAAATAATTTTGTTAGACATAAAAATGATTTTATAGGATGCTCAAGCATGATGAGCAATACTGCAAAAAGTGTTAACATTTTAGCAACCAGCTGAGCTGCGTATAATTATTTTGATGATTTCACAAAATTATTTTCAAATCTGTAACTAAATGTTCAGATACTTTAGCGAAACTGTTCTTTCTGTGTACGAAAACGAATATTGATAATAGATAGGTTAGGCTCCTTGCTTTTAAATAATTAATTAAAAATGCCGTTATTTTACGTATTATACTATTTTCAAACGAGTTCATTATGTTAACAATTTAGTAGTCCTAATTTGTCTGGAGATAATTTCAACATGATAAATTCGCACGTTTATCAGATATGAATTATATAAGCAAAATGGTTACTCACATAAGTCGTTGTATTCTCAAACGTTATTATTATTATTATTATTATTATTATTATTGATCCATGAAAAGAAAACGAGCAAGCGAATTTTCAACCGGCGCGCACCTTCTTTTTAAACTCTAACATGACAATAAAAAGCACCACCTGTAGCGATTTGGAACGTACACCGGACACGTTATCGCCACTGCATAGTATTCCCTTAATGTCGGTATACGCGATAACGTAAAAATAGACGACTTCGTAAAAGAAGTCTCTCACATAAGTCAGAATTGTGACAAATCACTTATCCGGCACTTCACATCCAAAAAAAAATATAGACATCCAAAATTATTTACTGGAAGCGAGTTCAACGAGCGGTGCGCGTTCCTCAAATCGACGCTCTTCAGTGGGCTGCGTAAAGACGCAATAACGATGAAGAAACTAGTACCCACACACAGATCCACAGGTGCGAAGCAAACAAACGCGTTTCCCAGAAGGCCGCGGAAGGTCGTGTAAACGCAGGAGCGCGTCGAGAATCACCAGGAAAGACGCAACAAAGAGAGACGTGGGATATATCTATTTAAAAAAAATATATATATACACTGACTAAACAGATAGTACCAACGTCAGACTGGTTGCGTTATTCAAAGAGACCCGCAGCTGATGAGAGACACCAGCGAACTGAGGCCGTGCGAGTGAAAGGCGGAGGAGCGGCTAGACTGGTGGTGGCACAGCAGCGTCAGCAACGGCAGCAACAGCAACCGCAACCACAGCATCAGCATCAGCACCAGCAGCAATACCAGTGACACTTGGGGGGTGTAGGAGGGTAAACCAGTACGAAGCCCTCTACTACTGCTACTACTGCTGCTAGCACCGCCACCACCACCACCACCACCACCACCACCACCACCACCATCATCACCCGCTACCATTAGTAGACGTAATCCTGGACCATAGACGTAGATCGTATGTGCGCATCCTCGATCACTTCGTCTCTGTCTTTCTTATTCCCCTCCGCTCCGCCTATTGCGCGTGCGCACGGGATAGTGAATGCTCCAATGCTTTCTATGACGTCACACGGAAGACTGCGGGGGCGGCTCTGAATGAAGATCGTAGTTCGTGAGGGTAGGTTCTATTTGGTTCTCTCTTCCTCTCGCTCATCCTCTTCTCTTGAATATGGGGTGTCCCAGAGGTATCAAGCGTGTCGGTAGTTAGGAATTAATGGCTGGGGAATTGTAGAAAACCAGGATCGCAGAATCACTACGACGAAATGAACCTTAAGGCGGTGAAATATTGTGCAATATAATAGAATCTTTTCCTTTCGTCTGATTAACGAATATCTATTTTGCAGCAAATTTAAATTGATCTCGTTTTGCAAAAGTGCGTAAATATTCGTCGGGTCCCGTTGGGGTTGTAAAAAAGTCTTTCGTCGTCACGTCCTGTACTTATACGTAGTAAATTGAAATACCGAGAAACTTCAGCAGAATTAAATCGCCGCTCGGCTTTTCATATGAAATATGTATGGCGGAATGTGTAGCAATATGTTGATATTAACTTATTTCGACTTGAACGGAACGTCTTTTCCGGAACGCGCTATTTGTCTAAATTAAAAAGTAAACCATATTTTTCTGCAGAATATCAGAGAAATATTTCTCTCAGTGACTTGCAAACTTTCGCAACACCGTTTTACACTGGAAAAATATCGAGAAATGAAGGGGAAGAATCGTTTCTTTCTGATACTTTCGATATATTATCGTTAGATTCACGAAATAACTTTTCACGGAACAATTAAATCCCCGTGTTAGATACCAGCGGAAACGAAATAGGAATACGCAATTGTTCATCGAAAACGAAAGTGCATCAGCGAATTGAATTGCTCCGCGACTCGGAAAGAACTCGGCGGAGCTCCTCTTGGCCGCCACGAAGTCGGCAACACCCGGTGTACACCGGAGGAGCCGGCGTACGAATGCGGGGGGGTATGCGTCACAGAGATAGGTATATATATATATATTTTATATACGTATACATATATTTCTGGACGCCTACGCGCTTCGGCATCGGGGAGATGGTCTGGACCAACGAGGCGACTCGCCAAGTACTATCGATTTTGTCCGACACCCGCAGTCGTCAACCCACGTCAAAACCGGTCGGGGTGTCGCGCTTACATTACGCGCCCGCGTTATTTTGCATCGCGTAACAAGAGTACCCCTGCCCCGCTCTCCTCCGCACCCTTAATCCTCTCCCCGGCCGATTTTATCGCAAGCGAGGGAAATTTGCTGGTGATGGTTATTTATCGC